GGCGGGGGGAGGGGGGGGAGGAAAGGGGGAAGAAGAGTTCAGGCTAGGGATGTATGTCAACTATCCGAGAAGCAAGAGTCAACTAGTTCCTTGATTAGTCACTTCCCCTTACCCTTACTGCCTCTACAAGAGGCAACAAGGGGTGGGGAGTAGGAGCTGGTGCTGGGAGGAGCCAGCTTAAAAGCCGGTTCCCCTCAACACCATCTCTGCAGGAGGCAGGGGAATAATAAGGACCAGGTGCAAGCCAATACATTTAAAAATCACAAGCACAGCAGGGGGGACCCAGCGCAAGCGTGGCCTGCTGATTCCTGGCTCCCACTGGGTCCTCCCTGATGAGCTTTGGCCTTTTAAATATATTAAGGGCCCAGAGGCTCTTAATACATGTAAAGGGCTAACACACAGCAGAGAGGATCCAACACAAGCTAGGAATCAGCTGACCCAGCACGCACTGGGTCCCCCGCATTGCACACAAGCCTTTTAACCATATTAAGAGCCCAGAAGCTCTTAATACATTTAAAGGGCTAAAGCACAGCAGGGGGGGGACCCAACATGAGTTGGCAATCAGCTGCCCCAGCTTGTGCTGGGTCCCTCCTGCTGCGCTTCAGCCTTTTAAATGTATTAAGAGCCAGCCAGCTCTTAATATATTTAATAGGCAGAGCCACAGCGGAGTGAGCTACCGGACCAGGAGCTTATCCCGCTGCAACTCCCCTGCTTATCAACTAATCGACAAGTTGATGGAAAATCTATTGACTAGTTGTTTAGTTGATTAAGCTATATTTAACAGCCTCAGTTCAGGCCCCAGTGGCTGGGGAGCTCCAGCCCAGCAGCAGCCATGAAAACTCTGGCAGCCAGGACAGAAGTCAGGAAGCTCCAGCCATAGCCGCAGAGCTCCAGCCTAGGCTCTGTTCCAGCTCCAGTGGCCGAGGAGCTCCAACCTCTGGCTCCGGCCCTAGAACTCCAGCCCTGGCCACAGAGCCAAATGGCTGTGGAGCTCTGGACCCAGCAGCAGTACAGTCTATAGAAACTAAAGAGCCCTGGGGCGCCTGGGCAGCAGCAAAGCTGAGATGGAGCCCTAGCCCAGTAGCAGTAGGGCAGTATGGGCCACAATTAGATGGACCTCCCTCTATCTGGCGAATCCCCTCGTTCAGGACTGGTCAGGTCCCAGACCAAAGAGACCCAACCTATACCTTAAGAGGCTAAATTACAGGGCTTCAATATTGAAGACAAAAGATACAGAATTTTGTAGGCACTTTGCTTTCATTAGGCACCCATGTTAATTGCCATAAACTAATCTGAACAGGGAATGTTAATTTCTTACTTTTCCATAAAATATAAATTTAGGCTCATATTTCTCTCCTTTAAATGCAAATATATGATAACCTTGCTTTCCAATTAACAAAAAGTGATGGGACTCACTACATGGACAAAGGCTTGGGGTGCAGATGGGAGTGCAGGCTCTGAGAAAAGGCTGGGGATCAGAGGTTTGAGGCAAAAGGAGGAGGGCTCCAAGTTTGGGGAGAGTCTCAAGAATGGAGCTTGGGGTGCAGGATGAGGTACAGTCTCTAGGCTGGGAGTGTGGGCTTTGGGATGTATGAGGGTGCTCAGGGCTGACTGGGCACAAGATGGGGTAGGGGATTGGGGCTGGGGCTTATCAACACAGCAAGAGGCCTCTTTCCCCAGCCCAGACACAGCATCTCCATGCTGGAGCTGCAGGGCAGGGAAGGGCCCCCCTCCGCCGGCCACAGAAACCTCAGGGTTTGGGGAGAGAAATCTTTACTCGCTGCAGTCCTGAGCCCCTACATGGGGCTTAATGGGAAGCTATCAAGCCATGCAGCTTAGGGTGAACTTAGGTCCTCAACACCTCCCTTCAGATTATATAATTTTATTTTTGTCAGAAAGGGCCTCAGTGCAATGAAATTTGAGACATCTCCTCATGCTTTACCCCATCACTTATCAACTGAAGTGATCAAAATGTAAGGATCTAGATATATTCTTGCTGGAGGGCCCAAGACTGTGGAACTTCATCTTCCCCTTTGTCAACCAGCTAACTTTGCACATCTATTTATGAAGACTCTCTCCAAGATGACAACCTTGACTAAATGGTTAGAAGATCATACAGATCTTCTGTTTTTAGTATATAGCAACAGCATTTATATTCTTGAATAGGCCATTTTACAACTGAAATAAATTAAGTTTAATAATTACATATGTTCTACACTGACATTACTTCCTTTTTAAAAATTATTCAATCGTATTATTATGCAAAGCAATAGTCTAAATATTAAATTGGCAATCAACTTAATGACAACTTATAAATATTTCATATCTGGTAGGTGTTACAGTAATATAACAATAAATGTAAGATTAGAGACAATCTATTTCTTGCTTTCAGTTTAAAATTGCATATTTTTATGTGAGTCTTTCACACAGTAGGAGAAAAAAAACACTTTGAATTATATGAAAAATTATGATAAAGCCATAAAAACTGGAATAGGCAAATGTAGTACAGGTTGGATCTCTCTAGTCCGGCATCCTCAGGACCTGACCAGTCCCGAACGAGGGAATTTTCCAGATCAGAGGAGGTCTCCTGCTACTCACTCCTCAGACCACCTTCCCCCACCCACTGCCAACCCCAGCTCCCTCACTCTACCCTGCCAGGCTGCTGGACTGCTGCAGCCCCAGCAGCCTAGAATGCCCCAGCCCTGCTACTGGGGCTACTGCTCCTCGGCACTACTGGACCAACCGGCAGTGCCCCACCTGCTCTACCACAGGCTCCCGGCTTTGCTCCACATCTCCCTGGTCTGCTGGCTCCGCCAGCAGCCCAGGGAGACGCTGAGCAGAGCGGCGGAGCACCCGGCCGGCCCCGCGGCGCTTCCAGATCAGCTGGAAGCTGCCGCGGGGCCGGCCCCCGGTGCTCCCCCGCTTTGCTCCCGTCTCCCTGGTCTGCAGCCCAGGGAGACGCTGAGCAGAGCGGCGGAGCACCCGGCCGGCCCCGCGGCGCTTCCAGATCAGCTGGAAGCTGCCGCGGGGCCGGCCCCCGGTGCTCCCCCGCTTTGCTCCCGTCTCCCTGGTCTGCAGCCCAGGGAGACGCTGAGCAGAGCGGCGGAGCACCCGGCCGGCCCCGCGGCGCTTCCAGATCAGCTGGAAGCTGCCGCGGGGCCGGCCCCCGGTGCTCCCCCGCTTTGCTCCCGTCTCCCTGGTCTGCAGCCCAGGGAGACGGGGAGCAGCTTTTCTCGCCCCGGAGAAGGCGGGCGGCGGGACCAGGCGTCCCGCTGCTCCAGTTCTCCCGGGCAAGAAATCCCCGTTTGTAACTGCGGATCCGACATAAGTCGGATCCGCGTAACTCGGGGACTGTCTGTACTGGCACAGAAATTGATATAAAGAAATAAATCAAAGGATTACTTCAGCAAAAGCATGTAAACCACGCATAACCTGGATCCTAAGGAACCTAATATAACAACTCATTCAAAGCCAGAAATCTCTGTTTGTGATATAGTAATATTGTTATATTGCCACCGAGCGGTAATAATTCATTAAATCCCTTTCCAAATAATAAAGTTACCAATTTTGTAACTAGCCTAAAGCTAGTATTTAAACAGTGACGAGGAGTTTTGCAGATTCAGACTAACATTGCTATCCCTCTGATATTTAGACAACGTTGCTAAATTTATATTTAGGCTTGGGTAGATTTTTTTTTTTCCAATTTTGACAATTATTTTTATAGCTTGAGATGTTAAGGGGTCGGGCAGGGTTAGA